GAGACTTTGAAACCGTCTCCCTTTTTATCACCAAGTTTTGTTCTTCCAAGAGTCCAAAGGATTTTCAGGATGATAGCTCCTGGAGGATGGCTCCATCTAAGGAAAACACGAGCAGCAGACCTGAGTCACTGCAAGAGGCTTTTTTAGATGAAAAAACCCCAATGATCTAAGTCTAAATCAGAACCTTAGTTAATCCTTATCTATAACTAACTAAAAGACTAAGTTTAGTGGATATTAAATACACTGAGATTGATAGGTTTGATTTCAGCTACCACACCAGGATGAAAACCCTCAGTTCTGTATTTCTAAAGCTAAAAAATATTACTAACTTTAAACCAGAGAGGTATCCATACACAAAAATATACATTGTGTGCTATTAAAAATTGCCCTTTAACTGAAAGAGTCAATCTGTCCGGAGTTAATCCCTGCTTTTAAAAGAGGGAAGTCACTTCCAACTGCTCAGCCGTGGCACTGTGAATTTGTAGGACAGCATAGTGAAGCATGGGGTAATGTAGGCTCCTTAACAAAAATTCACAGCTACTTATTTCTGCATAAGATTTTAATCCTCAAAGGTGCTATGCACAGGGGGAACTTCTTCTGCACCTCTGTAATATAAATTTATGTGTTGTTTTTATTTTCCCAGTATTTTAGATCTCTAGAGTAAAGCAGGAAGGAAAAAGTGCACCCCTAAAAATCTTAATTTCTTACTAAGGTACATAAATATAATAAATTTCAGTTGAATCACAGAGTGGAGAAGAATGCATACATTTTTATTATTTTTATAAAAGAAAGCAGGGTGCATATATTCAGCTGTGGAGGAGTTATAGGGTTGCAGCTTCTCAGTGAAAAAGATTAAACTGTCTTCGCCTTGCAAGTTCACCTTGACACGATGAGCAGCTCTGACCCAAACTCTTGGGAGTAGAACAGTCTCACAGGTGTGAGGACTAGGGAGAGAAGATAACTGAGATATGTAGCTGCATTTTCAGGTTTGTGGTGAAGTGACCCAGAGTTTATTGTTCACTGATCCACTCCTTGACAGCTTTAAATCAGAGAGTATTTTTCTGCTGCTTTTCATTTCACATATGCAAGCCTCCAGCTCTCTTTTGGTTCATCCTGATAATCGTAGAGAGGAATGTTACAAAGTTTACAGTCTAGGTTTTCAAGTGGACAGAGTCTAAAGTAAATTGGAGATGAAGGTGTTGCTGTAAGAACCGTTTGCTTCACGTGTCCTCCAGGTTAATTGAGCTCTGTGTCCCTGCTGAAAACAGGCTGTTTCCTACAAACAGAAACAAAGGAAACCATACAATTAGATCACTGCTATCGCTTTTACTTTTTGAGCTACAGATTTTGTCCTCTCTGCCGTGTCTCCTCAGCCGTGGTAGGAGCTGGAATACAGGTATTTCAGTGGCAAGGAAGTCTGACACCTCCTCAGAAGCTGCAGTGCCATTTCAGTCCAGTTGCTAAGGGATGCTTGAGCGAGATGTCGTCTGAGTCTTCTCCTCCAAGTGAGCACATTGGTTTGGTCACAACTCCACCCCCACGGTCCACAGCCAAAAGTTTACGAGGTCATGCTCACTGTGGACGGAAGAGCCCATTAGGAGCTGCACAACTGTCCCTGAAAACTAATTAACCATTTCTTC